CTTCCAGCATCACAGCAATACACAAGCCACCACAGTATGACAAACTGAGAGACAAGTGTTACCTTGATCTCCATAATGATAAATGGAGACATGTTTGAAGTTGTCAAGGGTTTTGTTGAACCCACAATCAATGCTCATGGTGGCAGCAGCCAAGAGATCAGTAGCTGCATTGCATTGGGTACATCTGCTGCACAAGACCTCTTTAGAGTATTGAAGAACAAGGAGGACACTTTGAGGACTAAGGTGTGCCTGACCCAACCCATGGTGGTCGCTGTAGCATCATATGCATGTGAAAGTTGGATATTGAATAAGGAAGACCATAGAAGAATAGATGCACTTGAATTGTGGTGCTGGAGGAGAATATTGAAAGTACCATTGACTGCTAAAAGGATACATTGATATGTGTTCGAAGGAGTTAGGCCAGAGTGCTCCTTAGAAGCTAGATGGCAAGCCTTTGTTTTATATACTTAGGATATATTGTCAGGAGAGGCCAGTCCATGCAGAAGGACATCATGTTTGGTAAAGTGGAAGAACAGCAATAAAGAGGAAGGCTCTCAATGAGATGAATTGACGTAGTGGCTGCATCAATAGGCTCAGGTATAGGAACAATTGTGAGGATGGCAGAGGACCATTCAGTGTTTGATTCTGTTGTGCAAAGACTGGCTATGGGTTGGAATCAACTTGATGGCACCTAACAATAACACCATGTTTACTTATGCGGTTGACTTTGAAAAGTTGCTTAACTTCAATATACCAACTGAATTAATGGCCCCACATTTTTATGATGTTCTATATCCAGATAGAAGCACTGGTGAAACAGGGATTAAGCGCTTAACTGTTCATTGCAAGGTTGATGGTTCAAATCCATCATTTGCTCAGTGGAATATAGTTGTAACAGTATTTCCATAAAGATTATAGCCTTGGAAACCCTGTGGGGAAGTTCTCCTCTTACAGGGCTGTTATGAACTGAAATCGACTTGATAACAGTAAAAAAATTTTATATCCAGGTATTTTCTGTAGATAAGGTGAATTCCTAATAATGCTGAACTTGACTTTGTATTTTGTTTTGACCAATGTGACTTTAACAAAGTAACCCCAACAGCAGGTTTGAAAAGTTAGATTTGTACATTTCCACTTATTCTCTTGTTCCTCTCTGGCTGCATTGAGAACATGCTCCAGCTAGTTTGAGGATATATATGTAATAGCCTTTGGTAGAGATATTGAAGAATTATACAGGTGAGAGACGCAGGAAGGGGACTTCAGTTGTCTCCATTGTGGCTGTCTGTGTTAATCCATGTTGACTAGAGAAACAAATCCAGAGAAACACATATGTGTATAAGAAAGAATGTTATATTGAAGAGTAATTGTACATGAAGAAAACAGCACACCCCAGTCCAGATCAAGTCCATATACTAGCCCATATGTCTGATACCAATCTATAAATTCCTATTCAGACTCACTCAACACATGCAACGGTGCTGAATGTAAGAAGATCACAGGCCAGTGGGTGGAAAGTCTTGTGGATCCAGTGGCAGTGGAAAAATCTCAATGCTGGCAGGGGTCTCCACATGGCTCTTCCAGCTCCAGGGCTCTAGTGTAACTCCATGCATCTTGTCAGCAGGAATGTCTTACAAGGAGTCTATGTGTCCCCCTCCAGCAAGCTATTTATCTCCATAGTGCTTCCAAATGAGGTCATCAAGCAGAGACTTGATTGACAGACTAAACTCAACACCTTCACTCTTAATAGTCTCAAGTTGGCACCAGATTATGTAATACATTTTTCTCATGAGAAACACACCTATGGGAAGGGTTTGAACAGTCACACACTTAATGATATTCCACAAAAATATTCTCATTATATTTAAAAGCTGTTTAGAAGCAAAAAGAGAGAAAATAATTGAAGGGTTGCTTTGGGATAGAATGTGTTGATTTAGGAGAATGTAAACATGTCTCATCTAACATTTGAACTGTTCTGGGGACATTCAAGCCCAGTGTTTGTGTTGGAAATGACATTCCAAACTTATTCCCACATAGGTAGGGGATCTTGAGCTGGCATACAGAATACGTTCCCAACAAACAATGGCATTCACTGTTACTCTGAGGGTTCTCTGTAGACATAGAAGAGGAAGTAAGTGCATTGGGGCCTTGAAGGTTAGGATTTTCGTGCATTTTAGATGCTTATCTGAGCCACACAGCTTAGAAATCTGGGATGGAAATCTCCTAAGAATAACCATCCTCACGAAATTTCTGATCCCTCTTGTTTTTGGCAGAATTTAAAATTCCGTGGAAATAGCTCATGTTGCAAGACTTCTGTGTGGTGCTCTCCAGCACCAGGAAGGAAAACGTCCCAGGAAAGGAAAAGCAAACCAATGTGGCTGCATGTTTTCACGCCTTTGGAAAGGTTGTGGTTTGGCTTAAACCAAGAAAGAGCACTTGGGTTTTTATTTTGTGCCAACTCTTTCAAATACCATTCACCTGACTCATGCAGCTTTGAACGGCAGGAGGCAACAAGGGAGTGAAGAAATTTGAAATATTCCTGATGTTCAAATATATTTTGAATGAGACTTCTTTTTGCTGGATTAACAAGCACAATATAAAATAGCCCTGAGCAAGATGTGCTCACACACACTTTGCTGGGTGAGGAGTGACGGTGCCATTGGTTTATAAGTGAACTCTATATACCGGTGATATAAGTGACACCCAGTGTGCAAGATAGAGTCCTCCCTTTAAATAGTTCACAAGGTCAAATAAGGGAGACACATCTGAGGCAAGCTATTCTGCCCTTTCAGAAATTCTACTGGAATTTTGGAGCTCAGTAATACACATTATTAAGAAGCCTTGCTGGTGCTGTGGGTTAAGCAGTGGGCTACTAAATATAAGGCCTTCGGTTCAAGCCTATCAGCCTATTCATAAAAGAAGTTGCCTACTCTCAAAGTCTCAGACACAATAAGAGAAATTCTACTAGCCCATAAAGGGTCATTCTGAGTTGGATTTGGCTTGATGGCAGGGGGCTAATGCACATTCTTGGTGTTTTTAAGGAGAACCTTGCTGTCCTACTTCATCCCACCATTGCTGATTGCACTGTCTGGGATGGTCCCCCACCTGTTTTCTGCTTGGCAGATTCCAATTTCTGCCCCCAAACCTGACTCAGACATCATCTTTCCTTAATCTTGCCAAACGTCATTAACTACTCTTATCTATGCTACCCATCTACTTTGTACACATCTATCACTTCACATAAAAACGTTTGTCTTTGGACAGTGTATGGGCTATAGTAGATGTTCAATAAATAAAAATAAGCTATATAATATCTCACTATAATAACCTTTCCTTTTCCAAAAAGGACAAGGCATCAGTCAATATAAATCTCATCCTTATTTCTCAACCACACGCTATGCGAGCATTTGTCATTTCCAATAACTCTCCAATGTTCTGCTAGTTTCCATATACCTACCACCTCAGCCAGGTCTCTCTGCCAGTCCTCTCACATGCAAACAGCAGAGGTCAAGAAATATTCATGGCTAATACTTTCCATCAACTGGCCTAATTCTACACTGTTAATTTAAAGGGAAACTTTTCTGTTAAATTCTGGGCTCCAGGACCATTTATAGAACTATTTGAATTCTAATCTTTTGGTAACTTGAATTTGCATTTGAAGTACAGAACTCTTCATAAAATTAAAGCAGGATAAGAATAATCTGATTTAGTTCATCTTTTCAAGTTTCCAGAGGAGTCTTTCACCAGATTATAGTCTGAGATGGTAGTAATGAAGCCGAGGTCAGGGATTCAGTTCTCTGTCTGGTCCAATTAGCATCCTTCTTTCCCAAAGACCTCGTTTTCCAACCCCTTTAATCACTGCCAAGTCTCCTGCAAGTGAATGCAGTTGTAAAAAGAGTATCCAAAAGATAGAGCATAGGAAGATTCTGTGAAATTCACTTTTACTTATGGAAAAGAAACTGATGGTTTATGTGCTGTGGTGTGTGTATGCCACGCACACGGGCATGGCACAGTCATATTTTTGTATAGGCACAAATATATGCATCTGTCTAGCTAGCTATGATACGATTTGAAAAGCATTCACCGTTTTAGTTAGATGGAAGGGTTATGTTACTTAAACATTGGTATTTAAGATACATTATCACATTTATTATCATATTAAGGCCATATGTTTAAAATTTGGGCTAGAAATTCCATAATACGGATTGCATTACCTCAGGGTCACCCTACCACCTAATGCTCACTGCTCAGCTGTATTTTGTTATGGTTTTAATAGAGCAATAATGTGTTTCTACATGTCTTAGTCTGGTATTAGATGACATGTGGGCTAATTTTGGTGAGTTGAGCAGACTGGTAGGGGGTTACACAAACCAGAGCAATTTGCTTTCCCAACAGCAAGAGAATATGTGAAGAATTATAGCTGATAGTCCAGGCCTGCCTCTCTCTAGCTCGTTCACTCTCCTTCTCGCGTGCACTCTCTTCTTTTCTCCTCTCTTTCCTCTCACTTGGTCTTTGTTCATTCCTTCTCATTACTCCTTTATTTAAAACGAGCTGTGGTTTTACTACCCCCATGTGTGTTCTCAAACTTCTTCCAGGATCAACCTTTAATAATAACTTAAATTTTTTTTTTTAATTTTAGCAGAAGTCTTCCTGACAGGGCTTCTGAACTGATGCAATTAGAAGAAGCCAGGACAGAAAACTGATAGTCTTCCTCATTTTGAACATCATAATCGATGCAATTTAGATAAGGTAGATATATATGCAAGAAAGAAAAGTCTAGGTGGAACCATGCCAGCAATTCATCTGTTTGCATTAATAGGTTCCAGCACTGGTACTACAGGCACGGAAAGCCTGAGCGCCACTGCACTTAGCGAGCACATGAGCTTAAAAATAAACGTTGACAACGTAGATCTCTTTGTCCTTTCAGGAATGGAAAACATTATGTACTTCAAAGCATACTAAGCCTGATTTTAAAATATAGTTGAATACTGTTTCTGTGGCAATTGGGAGGGTCTTTTGAGTGCATACAGTGCATTGATGCTTCATGTGTCCATAGATAGTTCTGAGCCACAAACGCATGAGAATAAATGACGCTGGCAATTTTGATAGCCTCATTCATAAGGGAAGAGACTTCTGACTTCTATGTTTGTTCGAACAACGGGGATATAGCTCCACACTTTACTCAGCGAATTTCTTCCTATCCCCAAAAGAGAGAATTTGAGTAGAGGTTTCACTTGCACACAGCAACATTTGTTCATTTTTAGCACTTCTGGACAGGAAATTGATCTAGAGGGTAACATTTGCACAAAAAGGGAAACAGTATGGGACGATGGCTTGTTAGTACAAGTGACTCTGTTTTGGAAATTACGGACAAGAAAGCTTGGAGGAAGAACGGCATTAAAGATCAAAAGCATGATGACTCCTGATGAAAACATCCCCAAATGATGAACCCACGAGCAAAGAGAAACTTCTTCTGTAAGTATCTTTGCAATTTCCAAATATCTTATTTGCTTTCAAAAAATCTGGAGGATGCTGAATATATTTCAAAGGAAGAATTTGACGTATGCAGTCTTCATTATAGACAAGTCTATAATTAAATCCATTGGGTGGTTCCCACAGAGGACTAGTTACTGAATTTTTTTCCACGACTTTGCAACACTGATATAAGTTTCACTTTAGCTTGGGCATGTTTTATCCAATAGGTGTGTTATGTCAAGCTTTCATTGTGCGATATATTATTCTGATAATGCATGATCCATTCCAATGCATTAGAATTCTTGTAATTTAAAGTATATTGACATCGCTGTGGTTAATCTTGCAATTAATTTGTCCATATCTAGGTTCATATAAACTGTTTATAACTTGCTTAGAGTGTAAACTGTTTCCTAATTCAGTTTTTCCATACAGTAGGGAAAAGATGGGTAAAATGCTAAAAATGAGGGAAAAGGGTATATCATGGGAACTAAAACCTAGGAGCTTTTTTACATTTCCATAGTTGATTTAGTAGATTGTTTTGCTTAAAAATTATTTACATGTCTCTATATAAGACTTCCCACCCCATAGTGAGAATGTGGTGTTGGAAGTATGAATTGAGCTTAATAAAGGCATAACCCTCTGTATGTATTAAATATAGTGAAATCTGTCTTCAGTGTATGATATGAAGTACTTATTTAACAGAAAAAGATTGAATGTTGAGTAATTGCTAGTACTGTGCAATGGGACAAATATCCTGATTGCACATGAATCATTTTACAATAAGATTTTACTCTATGAATTTATCCATAAGTGTCTTCAAATTCTGTTTAACAAAGAACTGTGTACTAATGGAGTTACTCTATATTAAAAAAACACTTTTCTAATGAGTTTCAACCTTGGTTTTTTTCCTTTTGGAATACGAAAGAAGCTTGTTGTATATTTGAAGGAGTAGCTCAAAGTTTTGGGGGAAATTCAGCCTATAAAATAAATAGATGCCTTCTTACTTCCAATACATATGTAATGCCCAGGTGTTAGTATGTGGCACTGGGGTGCAGAATTAGCATTTGGGGGATCCCCTTCACAGAGGGTTCATGGGTAGATCAAGATATCAGCCAAGTGATCTGCTAAGGGGGATTGCTTTTCAGGTGGAAGGGGCATGAAGATACGCTATGAGGCCAGTGGATACAGAGGCTTTTGGAATCAATTGATGTATCTGAAGTGACAGATACATGGAGAAAGAACTGGGATGGGAGGAAGATGATGGAGAGAAAAACACGCTCACTCTGGGTGCATCCGCACTATATGATAGGAGCTAGCACTGTTCTCTCACTTTTTATTCATTTGTTTATTTTTTCTGGACCACTTTGTAAAGCTTGTGATGAAACTGAAAAAGGAGGAAACAGGAATATGGTACATGTGATTTTATTCTGTCAGATGTATTGGTGGGAAACCACTGGATAGGAACTGACAGAAACTGTAACTAAGCAACAACTATCAGCAAGATAAAATGCTTTGGGATAATTACACAAAACATTTAAATGGATAATCTTAAATTATCCCATTAACTGGTAAGGTCCTGCTGAAAGTTATGTTTCAGAGGCAGACCTGTCAGGGTAGTGCTAATTAAAATAAGATATGCCATAAGAATGATTCGGAAGTTCTTTTAAGAATCAGAAGGTTGGTTGATAGCTTCGGCATGAGCACTCTCTTCAAGCTAAAGTCATCTGGATTTATTATACAGAATTCTGGGACTTCAATCAAGAAATGATGCAACATTAGAGAAGTCCCAAGGTTTGCTTTTTAAAGAAAGGAGAGACATTTTATTATAAATAATAGAGCTAATATATGGTAACAATGGTTTAGATTGTGAAGGGTAATCTTAAAAAGGAAAAATATGGATTTGGGCTCCTAACATGTACTTATTGATGACTAATGATAACAATAGTTTTTATGGCACCTTATGATTTTTTATGATTAGTTTTACAATATTGGGAAATCTACATCGAGGGTAGTTCATAGATTTTTGCATCACAAGGAATAAGTTCTTCACCACCGTTGGTGTCATGTATGTAGATTGTGGGGGGCTAGGGGGACTGGGGGTGTCAGCAGTGAGGATAAGGCAAGTATTGTGAGACAGATTGTACATTGGAATCCCAGATTCCTCACTTGTAAAGTGTATGCTTCTTTTTTTTCCAAAGGTCTTAAAATCTAAGTCTCTGGTTCATTATATATCGAATGGACTTACTAATTCTTCTGTCTTAGATTTGCTGTAAAGACCAAATGAGATGAGTCATGTCCACTGTCAGACACACAATGTTTGTGAGAAGATGATCACTTCTAGGTGATTTAACTTTGAGATTCTAATAATTCTGGCTGTGTAACACAACTTAAGTTTCTCAATTGTTCTGAATGCTTCCCAAATACGTAGCTCAGTAGAAATATTTATTTCCCACTTGATAAGCTTCTAATTATAAAGCAAAGCTACAATAAATACAGGTGAAGAATTAATAAAGTAATTAGGATGAATAAATTAAATCTAATGATGGTGGTAATTTTTAAAGATGCCTTAGATGTCCTCACCAGCACACACTACCCATTGCCCTTGTATTGCCTCCAACTCGTGCGCATCCAGTACGTTTTTTGACAGTGGGGTTGTCAGCAGTACATTGCCAGGCATTACTTATGAGGTGCCTCTGGGTAAACTTGAATTTGCAATCTTTCCATTAACAGCTGAGCACATTAATTCTTTGCTCCACCCAGTAACTCCTTAGATACCTTTAAACAGTTGACTTGTTTCCATTGCAGGGCAACCCCAGCTATTACGGGTTAAAATGACTTCATAAAGCTTTCTTAACTGTACTCATTATAGAAGCTGATGCCAGCACCAATGGGTGGGCTGGGATTGCCAACATTTATGCTGGTTGCTGTAAAGTCAGTTCCCATTAATGATGACCCCTTGTGAGCTGAAGAAAACTGCTCTGTAGAGATTTCAAGGCTGTGACCTTTCTTCTAATTTTTTATTTTATTTCTTTATTTTAACAGTTAATAATTCCCATATCATAAAATTCAACAGTTCAATTATATTAAGAAGGGTTGCACAATTATTACCACAATCAATTTTAGAACATTTTATTCTTTTTTTTAGATATAAATCATTTTACTGGGGGCTTTTACAGCTCTTGTAACAATCCATACACAATTGTATCAAGCAAATTTATATATATGTTGCCATCATCAATTTCAAAATAGTTTCTTTCTGTTTAAGCCCTTGGTATCAGCTCCTCTTTTCTTTTCCTCCCTCTCCCCACCCTCCCACCCTCATGGACCCCTGTTAAATTATAAATTATTTTCATATCTTACACTGCCCGCTGTCTCCTTTCGTTCACGTTACTGTTGTTTGTCCCCCTGGGGTGGGGTGTGTGTGTTATACATTATTGTAATTGATTCCCCATTTCTACCCCTTCCCTCCCACCCCCTGGCCTTCACCCTACCCTCATGGTATCGCCACTCCCACTGCTGTTCTTGAGGAGCTTATCAGCCCTGGATTCCATGTGTCGAGAGCTCATGTCTGTACCAGTACACATGTTCCAGTCTAGCCAGATTTGTAAGGTAGACCTGGGGTCATGATAGGGGGGGGGGGTGGACAGGAAGCATGAAAGAATTAAAGGAATGTTGTGTGTTCCATCAGTGTTGTGCTGACCAGGGCTGTGTCATTCTTTCCTTGTGACCCTTCTGTGAGGGCATAGCCAATTGTCTACACATAAGCTTTGAGTCTCCACTCCTCCCCTCATCATTTGTAGCGATATACAAATCTTCTGTTGCCAGATACTTTATCCCGTCAACAATTGGTGATCACACAGGCTGGTATGCTTCTTCCAGGTGGGCTTTGTTGCTTCCCTGCCAGATCCCCCCAGAGACAATGGCCTCATTGTTTTCTCCTCATGCTCAGTTATTCTACGTATCTTATATGGATAGACATGAGAAAAAGAAATAAAAAAGAGATAGGAAAACACACACACACACACACACACACACACTGCCAAATCCCCCCAGAGACAATGGCCTCATTGTTTTCTCCTCATGCTCAGTTATTCTATGTATCTTATATGGATAGACATGAGAAAAAGAAATAAAAAAGAGAAAGGAAAACACACACAGACACACATACACAATAGTTCCAGGTCTGTCTGTTGACCCTTCTGAAAGTTTTCCAATCCAGTCTGGTGAAGTGCCCTGCCCTGCCCTGCCCACTGAGTCCAAGGTCTATTTTGGGGATTCCTTGGGTACTTCATTGGTTTTCTCCCCTTGTGGTTCAGCTGTGCTCCCTTCCTGTTTTGCTCCAGTGGGTGTGGGGTGGGGAGCAGGAGGTTGGGGTGGTCAGATCAGGGGCAATTCCCACTCTGTGTTTTCAGTGCTGTTTCCTGTAGCTCTGTGGGTCAGTGAGGGATGTCATGTCTCATGGTGGAGCCAGCCCTGCGGTCTTCTCTGTGCATTGGCTGCTCTGAGCAGGAATGTCGTCCATCCCTGAGGCTTGGTAGGCCAGGTTGCCATTTCTCTCTCTCTCTCTCTCTCTCTCTCTCTCCCTTCCTCCCTCTTAGTTTGCTCCTGTGTGGTCTGGGCACTCCCACCACTCTCCCGGCCTATTTCTTCAATGCTGTCCTCTGAAGTGCATTCTTCCGGGGATGGGGTCAACATAGCTGGGGCTGGAGCTGGCCCCACAGCCCTTTCTGTGAGTTCACTGCTTCATGCTGGTATGTTGCCCTTGAGTCTTGGCACCCCAAGTTGAGGTCTGGTACCTTGCTCGCTTTCCTGTGGAGACATGAACAGTACCTGCCCCGTGTGTGCATTAGTTCCCTGTTTTCCCACTTTACATGTCCTCCCTCCCCTTCTGTCCCCTCCTTTTTAGTTGGCTGCCATATGCATCCCTGGGTTAGGTATGACCCTTGCTATGGTTCCTGGACCTCTTCCTGGGTATTTATGCACTTGGTGGCTTTTCCTCT